ACCTCACCATACCTCACCATACGTCACCATACCTCACCATACCTCACCATACCTCACCGTACCTCACCATACCTCACCATACCTCACCATACCGCACCATACCGCACCATACCGCACCATACCGCACCATACCGCACCATACCGCACCATACCCCACCATACCTCACCATACCCCACCATACCCCACCATACCCCACCATACCTCACCATACCTCGCCATACCGCACCATACCGCACCATACCGCAACATAACCCACGATACCCCACCATACCTCACCATACCTCATCATACCTCACCATAGCCCACCATAGCCCACCATACCCCACCATACCTCACCATACCTCACCATACCTCACCATACCTCACCATACCTCACCATACGTCACCATACCTCACCATACCCCACCATACCTCACCATACCTCACCATACCTCACCATACCTCACCATACCTCACCATACCTCACCATACCTCACCATATCTCACCATACCTCACCATACCTCACCATACCTCACCATACCTCACTACCTCCCTACCTCCCTACCTCCCTACCTCCCTACCTCCCTACCTCCCTACCTCCCTACCTCCCTACCTCCCTACCTCCCTACCTCCCTACCTCCCTACCTCCCTACCTCCCTACCTCCCTACCTCCCTACCTCCCTACCTCCCTACCTCCCTACCTCCCTGTTTCCCTGCCTCCCTGCCTCCCTGCCTTCCTACCTCCCGACATCCCTCATCCCTACTACATCCACTACCTACCTACCTCCATTACACTCACCTCCCTACCTCCCTACCTCCCTACCTCCCTATCTCCATAAGCCCTACCTCCCTGCCTCCCTGCCTCACTACCTCCATACCTCCCTCTCTCCCTACCTACCTCCCTACCTACCCTCCCCTACCGACCTCCTACCTACCTCCCTACATACATCCCTACCTCCCTACCTCCCTACCTCCCTACCTACCTACCTACCTCCCTAATTCCCTACCTCCCTGTCTTATACCTCCTACTACCCTCCCGACTACCTCCCTACTACCTCACTGACTACTCCCTACTACCTCCCTACTGACTCCTACTACCTCCACTACCTCCCTACTACCTCCCTACGACCTCCCTACGACCTCCCTACGACCTCCCTACTACCTCCCTACTACCTCCCTACTACCTCCCTACTACCTCCCTACTACCTCCCTACTACCTCCCTACCTCCCTCCCTCCCTCCCTACCTACCTACCTACCTACCTACGATATGTATAACCAACATTAGCCAACCACAATTTGCTGATTGTGGTTTTGAATATATTTTAGTCTTTCCGTCCCAGAATCCAAATGTTTCCAATTACACACGGTGAGCATCCCAGTGAGTCAGTCGTAAAGAACACAACTTAAATTGTCCTCGGACCGTGGCCGATTGCCACTGGTTTTTGTACTTGTTGGTTGCATTCCCCTGAGTGCTGCAATCTCCCAGATTCATGGGTTCCCCTTTGACCCAAGACCCATACAAGGAACTGACACATTTCTATGGCTTATACTTATTATACCAAAGCAAAATGGACATATTCATTGGTTTGTGATGGTTTGTGACTGAGTCCCTTCGGGAAACATCTGAAATCTTTAGTGAATACCAAAACGATACGTCCCAGCTTTGAGGTTGAACATGGATCCAGAGAATCCCAACATGCAAAACATGTCCGCCATCTACAAGAGTGGGCCGCCAGTTGTGCCCACGTATCCCATTTCATTTGGTCAAAACTATCATCAACTACTGTAATTGGGGTCGCTCATGATTACAGCCTACTTGTGGTTAACGGGCCATGTTTGTTGGTTTTCGGCGTTGCTTTTTCTACAAACATGTTTAGATGGAGAGACATACCTATTTTTGACTTTAGCAACCACCAAAAAGTCGGATAAATCATTTATCACCATGAAAGTAGGACTTTACTTTTCTATTTTTTGAGACTTGTGACTATACAAATGAAAAAAACAACCTTTTCCCTTAAATTCATTGATTCTTGGGTAAATTATACCCAGTATGATCCATTATTCGCAATTTTTAATCATTATTTCATAATTATTAATCACTATTAATCACTATTAAGCATTGTTTGCCATGATTAACCATTATTAATCACTACTAACCACTATTAACCACTATAGGGAATCAGTTTCCACGTCTGCCGCTTGAGGCAGCCTCTGCAGCATCCATTTGTTGTCACGTGGAACGCTTGCCGCGACAACAGCTCAGCGTGACCCGGTAGCCCCGGGACGGCCCGGGACGGTGTAACTCCCCATTTAAACAAGCATTCTGGATCCCGTGTAGGTAAATGATTGGATTTTATTGATGGTCTGTCGACACCATTTGTTTGAAGATCTTGATGGAATCGAATTTGTACCCTGATGCCCAAGTGGATGAAACAACTAAACGGCTCCTTCCCGTTACGTATCTGGGTCGGCTACACGCTTGGGCGATAGTCATAAATCTGAACACCTTGTGGAAACCATTCCAGCATGCTATCAAAGGCCTCCGAAAGACAAAGACAAGGAGAAGAACAAACAGGCTCCAGTTGATGTGGGTATCGACATGCCAACAGATGGCAAGCTTAGTTTCAATGCACATCACTTACCAATTTGCATAGTTACTTATCCTTCCGTGGCCTCTATGGAAATTCCTGAAAGGAAACCCACCTCAGGATTGCATCCCACTTTTCGCGGCTTTCTGCAGGCGCTTTGCCTAAAAGTGTGCTCAACAATAGCGCATCCTGAAGCATTGTCAGGTCGCCATGGGATCAGGAGCCAGCCTTGGGGTGATGAACTCGAAGAAATCCAAAAAATTGTGCCAAATTTCTACTCATGACCGTCTTGATGATCTCGAAGAGGACTTGGATCAGGGCCTAGATGTCCTTCCCTCGCCATTAAGAACGAAAATGTTGTCTGTAATTCAGGAGGGCACGGAGGAGGAATGGGAGAGAATCCCTGGTGTTCCATCTTTTGCTGACCTGCCGTGTGAATCAGTTGCTTCTGATGACTGCAAGTTTACTCTCTTTTGACTACAAGTTTACGAGGCCCCGGTCTTTTTTTCCGTGCGGCGTTTGACGCCCTTGCTTGGACTTCTGCAACTCTGTTGCTCTTTTGACTACAAGTTTATGAGGCACCAGTCTTGTTTTCCCTGCGGCGTTTGACGCCCTTGCTTGGACTTCTGCAACTCTGTTGCTCTTTTGGCTACAATGTTTGTTCTTCCCTGCGGCGTTTGGACTTTTGCAACAAAGATGAACAGGTGTGAGTGCAGCATATTCAGATGTTCTGGAACCTAAAGGGATAGCCATCTTTGGGTTTCAGACATGTAATTCCTGGGTAACAAAAGACTGGCGGAGGTATCTTCATCTATCTTCATCTTCTTCAGCACCAGCATCAGCGGTTTCACATGTTGCCAACTGCTTCCAATTGTTTTACACACCTTCTATCACCTTTTCACATCTTACCTCACCTTCTCGGCACCACATACCTTAACCCAACCAGTGCTGGACCTCCTTGGCCTCCAAAAACAGCGGAAAAAAGCACGTGGCCCACAGCACGGCCCTGTCATGGCCACAATTCATCCCATGGGTTGCTTCGCACTGTCGAGGGCTGGTTTTTTGATATTTTTTGGACGGAAAAATCAGAAAATCTTCCCGAAAAATCGACCTTTGCCATGGAGGGATATGGCATGATATGGGGAAAGATATCCAGCGTATCCATGGGTATCCCAGATTTCAAGACTTGTGGTGGCCTCCACTAGCCAGCAGCATACGAGGATATGTCTTTTACGGGATACGTCTTTTACGGCTTAGCAGGTTGTCATCCAACATTGACTTATAGGATGAATTGAGCATCTAAGATACATATCGGTGCAACGGTGCAACTATTGTTTTGAAGAACTAATGATGGTCAAACATGTAGTTTGATAGGTATTCCGAATTCCCATCATCCTCAAAGGCTACAATGTGGGGCCCCCAAGATAGCTAAGTTGGTTTATAACTACAATAACTAGGGTTTATGGTAGTTATAACCATAGTTAGATGGGGTTATAAACCAACTTATAACGTTTGGGGGCCCCACATTGTAGGGTTTTTCGAGGTTTTCGATCTCCATGGCACAGGCAATGTGGATCCAGTGGCAGTCATTGAGAAGTTGAGGAGCGGCTGATTTGGCGGAGATCGTCCATGGGGATTCTGTAGGTTCACCGTGAAGTTAAGCAAGGTTCTGTAGGAGCATCAAATTCTCATGGTTGATAACTGATGGTTGATAACTAATGGTTGATACATGTTGATACATGTTGATACATTATATAATACTATAATATACTATATATATAATTATATATATTATACACTATATTATATACGTATATATATATATATATATCCGTTCATATCCGTTCTTAACTTGAGGATTTTTTGAAGACTACAATCTTGCTTAAGGTCATTTTTTGATATTGACATCCATTTTCTCAGCCACTAGTTTTGAGCCAATCCCATGTCTTGTTGGTTGAACGAACAGTTCTGTTGATTGTGGTATTGTTTGGGAGCCCAATATGAAGCCCTGAGTTGAAACAGTGATGCGAAAGCTGGGGCAACCACCAGGGCAGTTCCAAGATCGCCCCTTTCCAGGAGTCGATTAAAAAATCCAGGAAAAGTGGGGTGAAAAAGTCGATTTTTGACTTTGGGTTTTTGGTGTTTGCTTTTCATGAAATTTCACTGTTGAAGCTATGTGAAACCACATCTGTCACTCCAAGAGTGAACTTCCGAACTTCCGAACTCATTTCGTCCAAACCATTGGACCATGTCAAAACTCTGGAGAAATCTGCGTCCACCACTATACGACATCTCGTCGGATTTGATGTTTCTACGTGGACCTTTGATTGTTGCTTAATGTTCTTCCCTAATATATTATATATATATTCTACTATATATATGTATTATATTGTACATAATAAGTATGTCTTCCTGCAGCTGAAGCAACTCAAAATCTCCGGCCCTGGCCCCTTTACATGCCTTTTGGCATGGAGACGTGCCTGGCTCCGTTGAGAGCCTGGCTCCGCTGCACGCGCCGGGCGGAAGAAAAGGTGAGCCATGCGTTGGCAGGGCTTTCGAAGGCGAGCGCACGAAATCCATGGAAGTTCCTTGGACAAGAATGAAATAAGTGACCGGTGAAAATTCATGATGATGAGTGATATATAAGATAATGCACATTTTTTTGTAGTATAGTTAGTCCATTTTTGAAGTTCGTTGTTTTATGCTGGTTTCTTTGACAATAACATGTGGTGACATAAGTGACTGAATCCATCAAAAGGTCTGGGATTGCAATTTCTAGTTCAATATAGATATGTATAGATATCAATATCAATCCATTTTTTTGGGGTTGTCGGAAAATTCTGCGAAAACCACGAAAAATTGCGGTGCTGTGCGTTGGGATTTTAGCCATCTATGGGATCTGAACCAGGTGCTTGGCACTGAGTTTCCTGGGCTGCCTGCTTTGTGGCCTTGGCTTTCTTCGATTCAACTCCATCAGTGATGCCACAGAGCCCTGGGTTTTGAATCAAATTTCTCGTGTTTTCAATGGTGGATGATCGGTTCTTGGGGCGATCTACAAAGAGGATGACATGGAAAAAGACATGTATATAGAATAGTGGGAAAAGCCATTTGATCTATTTTGGGACTGCTTCCCCAAGAGTAACTTCAGTATTATTGCCGGGAATCTATCTATAGGGCTCATTTGATTTTTCTGGCGCAAATCCAAGGAATTGTGTGTCGATCAGCATTCGCAGCAGATGAAAAACATGAACTGGGCCGATCAATACTTTGATGGTTTCGGGAGGCCGAATCGATTGCTGATCACTGTCGCTGGTCTGGAGCTGCCTTTTGGAGTTTTTGTTGCAGGGTTTATTTACCGAACATTTTTTGAACAGTGGGGCGAGTCAAAGGGTTTAGGTCCAAATTGAGGACCTCGAAATGGCCGACATGTCGTTTGTTATTAAACTCGAATAGACGGTTCGGTCGAGAGATAGTTTGGTTTGTTGTCAGTTTTCCTTTTCCTTCAGAATTTTGTTCTGCCCAGAAGCTAACCTCTGTGTCGAAATAAACCCCCCACAGGATGGGACCCCATAGTTAGCTAAGTTGGTTTATAACTATGATAACAATAGGGTATGATACTTATAACTATATTTAGATGGGGTGATAAACCAACTTATAACTGGGGGGGCCCATCCTGTCCTGCAGGAACCATCCATATTTTTGGTACCCGATTTTGACCACTACCCGCGACCAAAAAGTCCGAAACGCAGGATGGATCAACTGCTTATCATGGGTGTCATTGTCACAGTGCTCGTGCTTTGAACATTTATATATCCTCATCATTTGGTGGTTTCCTACAATGAGGTAACCCAATAGCTGGATGGTTTAGAATGGGAAATCCTACTAACAGGATCTAAAATGGATGATATGTGGGTACCCCCATGACTTAGGAAACCTCCATTTGTCATGATCCGTAACAAGTCTTTGTCAAAAGATGGTCATCCAGATGGTCCCATGCAATTTTACCAGATGTGTGTCTGAAAATGGGGTATACCGGTATACCTTCCAAATAATTTAATGTTTGCAAAATCAATGGCCATTCCAGGATCCGATTTATCTAAGTTAGTACCTCCAATCTGTTGGATCCTGGAGATCTCGCATTGATAAAATGATGAAAGACACCAATGGATTGAATGGGGTTTGAATGGGCTTTTCCCCGAAAATTTGGGAGAGACACTCCCATCGATTCAGAGATGAAATCTCGCCAACCTCAGATTTTCAGATATGATATATTAATATAGCATAATATAGCCCTATATTATCCTATTTTATTCTATATGTTATCCCTATATTATCCTATATCCATCAGATTTTCAGACAGCCAATTTTGGATATCAGATTCTGACACCCGACCGGGATGATCTTGGACGAAGGGATGTGTTTCAGTGGTGGATATATTTGTCACTTTAAGCATGTATTGATTGCAACACAATAGCATGCTATATCATCACTTGGATGGGTTTATAATGGTTTACAAGCATTGTTTAGCATTTATGACATATTTTATGAACCAACTTTGAAGCAGTTCCAAGCACCTTCGATTGACTACAGCTATCACCGACCACGCATGCGGCCTGGGGCCTAATTTGCCAAGGCAAAAGATGGAGGGAATGTCTTAGAGATAGATCCTTGGTGTCCGTGGGATCTGGGGATATAAACCGAATGGAGGCTGTTCACGGCTGGTCAAGAAAGATGTATATATAGTTTTACGTGGTTTTAATATGGTTTAATTACTCAGTTTGCTCTAGATATTCCAATTCTAAGTAATTGAGTACTGTAATATGTCGGATTTTGTTTGGGTGTTTCTGGAGACTGAATACTCACATTAACATATCTTAATTACTGGGTGGTGGTTTGGAACATTTTTTTCATATATTGCGAATTTCATCATCCCAACTGACGAACTCATATTTTTCAGAGTGGTAGGTCAACCACCAACCAGATACTTATTACATCTTATGACTATAGTACTCATGGGGTTTACAAACCATTATAAACATTTAGAAACATTTATAAACATTTATAAACCAACGTTTATAACCATTTATCTTTAACATTTATAAACCAACGTTTACAACGTAATTTTTTCCTACTCAGAGACATTCGAAGACTTTCGGATCGAGGCCGCTCGTCTCCATGCCATCCACCCGGGTACGAAATCACCCAGATGTTGTTGAAGATAAGAGGGTGAAGCCTATGGTTTTATGGATGTTTATGCTATATATATATATATATCTAATGGATGTTTATATATGTTTATGCTATATATACTATATAAATTATATAACTGTATATATATGTATATGTAAATGTATATGTAGCTAAGGGTTTTATAAACATTATAAACCAACAAACATAACTGGGGGTTATAACATGTTATAACGGTGGGGCCCTCACCTTTTTGTATCTGGACAAAGCAAGATAAATCTGCTTATTTCAGGGTCAGTGGAGCAAGCGGAGGAAAATCATTGCCAAATGGTGAAAGCGGCAGAGTTTGGTTAGTGTCCAATCGTGAGAGTAGGCTGTTGTTCCCGCTAGGCGTAATGGATCTTGCCATAGGGTTTCGATGATACTAGACATCTTTTTCAATGGTCCCCCTGTAGAAATTGAGCGATTCAGATTTCAGATGACTAATCCCTTTCCCGTGATATTAAACATCCCCCGGAAACCATGGTTTAGTAGGGCATGCAATCACATATTTGGGACCATTCAGGGGGTGTCAAAAATATGAGGGGAGTAGGATGTAGAGAAGCACTGGAGGACCTTCCAGTAGGAATAGACGCCCCAGGGTTTTTGTGGTAAGATAAGCTGGGTCAGAGGGCCTTGATGGTCCACCAGTGCCCACAGCAGGTCCTTCCAGTAATTCTTTGAGGATGCCCTTTTGTTAGGATTGGAATCGGGAACCTGGAAGCAAACAAAGCAGATCAAACCAGCCTCTTTTGTGGATATGTTTTCCCTTCAAAATCCGTTTGCCATATGTGACATATATATATATGTTTACCGGAGGATAAATCTGAGGACAAGATGACTGAGATTCTTCAGATTGCTGATGACGTGAGGGCACTAGTGGATGAGTCTGGCAAGAAGTTTGAAGATGTCTGCCTGGATCTAGGGAATGGCTGCTTCAATTCAGGACAGGGCAGGAGACGTATCCCTGGAATGAATTGGATCTTGGAGGTTCTAGCAGTAGAACAGGGCTGAGTGAACCAAGTTCCGGGCTCTCTTACAACCATCAGTGACACCACTCCCCATTTGGGGTTTGAAAATAGTGCACCCCCAATTAATTCCAATGGTGAACCCAAACAACCTAATGGAGATGGGACACGACTGGGATCCATGTTTAGGTACCCCAAGTGTGACCAATAGCCAGGGGTTTCCAATCTCTCCACGTCCAAAGTGGGTTTCCAAACTGCGAAGGAGTGCTCAGATACTTTGGAACCACTGCACAGTTCAACAGTGACCCGATGCGGATTCAGACGTTGCACTGCGTTGCACCGTGGGAAACGACGCCTTTGAAGAATGGCAATTTCCTTTTTCCCCAGCAAACCTCAACAAACCCATCCCGTTTCCAGTGCTTGAGACCTCGATTCAGGTGCAGTACAAAGTCAAGCAGATATTCTGGAAGCAGTCAACAAGGCCATTGCTGGTTCTGAAGATGTTTCAGAATATTGTCATCCTCAAAATGGGATGATTGATAATTATGATCTCACTTGACTGATACTGTATATGAAATTATTTTGATTGTGAATTCATTCATTTATTCATTTATCACATTTGTTCACGTACTGATTTATTCATTTATGTCTCGTCTATTTGTCTGCAATTAGATGCCCCTGGATATTACTGTAGATGATACCTCCCAAAAGGCCCTATTTCAATAGGGACACTGATTTTCTGACCGCAAGATGGGGGTTTTCCGTGTTTTTTTTCCATCATTTTCAGGTACCCTGGTAATCAAGCAGTGCAATGGACAATCCAACATTTAGTTCGATGATTTTCCCAGCTCTGAACCTCCATTTTGATTGAGATTTTTCCAGCCACGTTTGACGACACCGGATGGGGTATCCTATTATTTTCCATGATATTCCCATTAATTCTTGGTTATACCCCTAGGATTCATGTCAAACCCTATGTAATTATTCCATATTATTCCCATCATCGCAGCAAGCAAACAGTAGGAACTGCTAAAACTATTCCAGGAGATCACATGAAAATATCGCCTCCAAGGTTCACTCAGTTGGGCCCTGCCACTAAGCCAGGCCACCTTCCCTGACGGTCAAGATGCCTTTGCCTCGGACAGCATGGGTGGCATTCAGCGAGACATCAACGGCAGTGTGATCAGTGCCACAGCGGTGCGAGTGGACTTCGTCCTCTATGCGGAGTGGGATGCTTGACCAAAGACAACTGGATGTATCATGATGTATCTGAATCCTATCTATATTATCGACATTTATCGACTGGAGAAATTGCTATCAGTTAAGATATTGCAATAGTTTATCCCCTGGAGAACATAGGGAGAAAACGGTGATGTAATGGGTCAACCATGGTTGATATTGGTTATTGATTCAGTTATCTATGGGTGTAATGGTTACCCTCCGGTAATTCAACATGCTTTGGGTTCCATGGATGAAAACGGCCCATGTAGTTCGATGATTGCTGGGTCTCTAAGCTTGACCATGATAAAGGTATTGCTGGCTGGTTGCGTAAGACTGGATCACCAAAAGTGGGTGGATAAACCAGGGGGTCGGTGTGTGGTTTCTATCTCAGGCCACAGGCCATAGCAACGGGTATCGGGAACAGGGCTGTTGTGATAAACCTGAAGCAACAACAGAACCAAAAATGCTTGAGACAATGCAAGACACCTAATTCTGTGAATTTTTCAGAACTAAACCATGCCCACTCAGGGTTTAGTATAGGCATAGGTTTTTACTCATTTAGATAGATGATCCTGACCCACTGACGCCTCGCATCGCGCTTAGGAAGATATGGACACCTGGGAAGGAGCGCTCACAGTAGCCTGGCCACAGCTGGCTGCAATTCCAGGTTTCCAACTTTTCAGCATCTAGTTGGGTTGCTATAGGAACGATAGTAACTATAGTATGCTAAGGCGTAAAAATCCAGTTCCATTCCGATTCTCATCTGAAGCACTGTCGGCCAAAACCTTGGTGTTGATGGAGGACAATTCCGGAGTTGTTCATTTAACTTGCTGCGGCAAAATAGGCTATCTAATATATATATATATATCATGTACATATATATATAACATACACTAAAATAGATGGTGTGGTAAACTGCTGAACTAATATGTAGATATTACCTCCCAAAATCTAAGATACACATAGATACGCAAGAATGTCCAAATATATACAAATATAATCATCGACGGAAGTTTAGAAGTCAAACTTCCGACAATATGGAGAGATGGAAAAGCAGAGGTGGGAAGAGTCAGAGAAGAGAAGAGAAGAAGAGAGAAGATCAGAGAAGAGAAAGAGTCAGAAGAACGAAGATGCAGGTGCACGAAAAGGTAGAACAGTCGCAAAACACTGTGTTTTTCCAATGATTTGTGGCTCCGGAGGGTCGAAAAGTAGCATGTGCTTCCAGTTTTTGAAATGCTTGTTCAAAGTCTGCCGTATATTCCTGGATTGTTTGGTTCCTTGAGCGTCTGGTGTGCATAAAGAAGTTCTCGAAGTCATGGGGCAATTCCGTGATCGCATTGTATTTGAACACGGTGTCCAGGCGCTTCAGCAACCTCAAAGTCCCGTAGATCTTCAACTGCATCCCAAGCTCTCCCCGCCAAGGCGGCCATGAGCCTTTCATCAGCGTTGTCCCGGAAGTCGCCAAAGGTGATCTCAGGCAACCACTACCAACAACAAAATGTAAAACCAGTAAACTACACTGCTGCAACTACAACTACAATTTCAGCTTCAACTACACCACAACAACAATTACCACTAGACTACAACCGCAACTGCAACTACACTACACTACAGCTACAACTACAACTCCTACAACTACTACAGCTACTGCAACTACAACTTCAACTACACTTTCAACTACACTTTCAACTACACTTTCAACTACATTACCACTACAACCACAACTACAACTGCACCTACAACTACCCTACAACTACAACTACACTACGACTACCACTACCACTACCACTACAATTACATTGCACTTTGCTACACCACACTACATCCTGCAGTTGTGGGTGACGTGACCACTGCAACCACTCCAAAAAGCACAACCACCTTTCGGTCACAACAACTCACCTCTCCTATAGTAGTTTCCTATCTTTGAAACTTCCGCCACCGCCTTGTGCGGTACTACTGGTATATAATCTATCTAATCAACTATCTATCTTAGATACGTATATAATCCCTTCACCCTAATCCCTCCCTCCCCCCCAAATAATAAAACCTAGGGGTAGTTTTTATTATTGGGGTGTATTTTTATATTCCGGGGAGAAGCTGGTCCCTAATATTAAATTTAAAACCTTAATGAACAAAATAAATGTTTCGATTTCAAAAATTAAATTCTTTTTAAAATCTAATTAAGAGATTCCCAAAAATTGGATTCCTAGGCTTTCTCCTAATATTAAATTTACAGGCTTAATTACAAAAAACAAATGTTTATTTCAAAATCGATTAAATTCTTTTTTAAACTCTAATTAAAATATTGCCAAAAATTGGATTTCGAAGCTTTCCCCGAAATATTAAATCTAAAGCCTTCATTAAGAAAACATATTTTTTCGATTTAACAAACGGCCCGCGGTTAACTAGTTTTTCCTACTCAGGGGGTAGAACCTTTAAATGGACCCCCATTTTTAAATTGTTTTCTAAAGAGGATCAAGTAAAAGTCAAATTGACCAATCAGAAATTTGCCAAACCAAATAATATGGGGTAGTTTTTATGATTTAGGGGAGTTTTTCGTAATAGGGATTCCTAGCCCTTCCCAACATTTCATCAGACCACGAAAATGTTCACCTATCTCCCAGATTTTCTTAGCAAATTCATCGATTCATCCACCAATCTGTGTAAATTATAACGACCTCACTGCGACCTTACTGGAATCATGATTTTTTATGGGGAATCATCCCAAAATGGCCCAACATTTCAGGTGAGTGAAATATCACAAAATTTACCCAAATATAGTATCCATATAGTATCCATATATTATTCATATCTCATTGTTATCCCAACCACCCAATTTCTAGGAAACCCTGGGATTTTCCCAGACCAATCATCTGACGCCAGTTACATTTCACCAAACACGACCTCACGGAGCAACGCTATGAGAAGGTCAGGGCGTCGGGTGGGTCATGGGAAGTTTCTGGCCTTGGAGGCGATTTCTGCCTGGGTTAACTAACCCCTAGGCTACAGTAGTGTTACGTGTCTTATCTTGTGTTACGTGCTCTAAAGCCATTAGAAATCACCTTGGTGTAGGTAGCCACTTGTTTTTCATGAGCCAAAGTGGTCTGAGATGTTTAGCGTTTTCTTTTGGAAACTGTTTTTTCTGTGGAAGGCCTGGGAAACACAACCGTTGTTGGTACCCTCTGGTAAACTAACATAAGTATTGAAAATAGTTCATAGAAATAGTTGATTTAGCCACAAACAATGGTGATTTTCCATCAACATTAATATCATCATCAACAATATCATACATTATCCTTCTGCTCCCCCCACAATGTTTGGGGTCTCTTGCCGGGAGAATTGTACGTTTACCTTGTTGGTATCCTGATTCACGGGGCGTACGCTGCACGAGGTCAATGTCTACCTGCAGGCCGAACGCTCTCGAGATGATGAGTTGAACCGGACCGTCCAAGCGGAGACACGGCAGCAGACCTGTCGTGTGTCCGGCACCGGTGGTTGCGGTTGATCCAGCAGTTGATAGGTGGTAAACATCCCATGATTAGGGTGAAAAAACATGAAAAAACGATAAACATGGTGAACTTGGGGTAATTTTGGCACATCATTTTTTGAGTAGCATTTTTGTTGCACGGGAAGTTGATATCAAAAAAACCCAACAAGACCTGAGAGTCAGGACATCCACAAGACTGTAAGAAACAACATACTGATCATTCAAAAGCTAGCAGAGTGCCATGTATTGATATTTTGGTTCCCATAAGCATGTCAAATGACATGAAGCGGGTAGATTTCTCATGGCAAAAACACCCGTGTTACACAGTACTTGCCATTTAGGATGAGAATCCAACCGTCGTTTTCTTTGCCATCTACCATTTTGGGCAATATTTTTTCAAAGCCAAGTTCATCAAAAGCGGTTAAGGTTTAGGTCAGACTCTAACTAAATCATAATTGGGGAGTGGTCCTACTATTGAGATCTATAAAGCAACTAGAAAGAGTTTGAGGGATAACAGTAAGTCCACAAAGTGCCTAAGTGTCTTATCTTGGCTTATCCAATCTATAAACTTCATCCGAAATGGGTGAAACAACCAAGCTCACATCAACATGTTGCATCTTACCAAGCGGTTCCTTTCATCACCACAACCCCACTGACTCTCCGTGCCGTGCCTTCCAGACCTGAGGACATTCCGCTCTTCGCCTTGGCCTTTGTCTTGATGTCCACCTTTTGCGCCTGTTTCCTGGGAAAAACCGCCTCCTGGACCCAGAGTCGGCGCTTGCTAGGTACGGCAAGAAGGGTTGGGCGGTGGAAGGGCGGATGTTGCGGAGTTCGTGGCTGATCCATAGGTATCTCATGTGATAAATGGTTAGCAATGGTTATCCCTTACATATATTATATTATGTAGTTATATATCCATTAATATATTAGATATAATGTTATATCATATATCAATTAATATATTATGTAGTTACTATTATATGTTATAATGGTTATTTAGATATATTATGTAGTTATAATATAATCCCATTTATAATCCCATTTATCATATCTAAAGCCATGAATCTACTTGGACATCGATCCTGCAGAATGTCCTCAGGAGATCTCAGGAGTTGGTAGATTCGGTAGAGAGATATATATATAGTTACTATGGCTATCTATGGCTATCTATGGCTTACAACTGGGGGAACCTAGAGTATATAAGCCATATATAGTTACTTATGACTTATAACTGGCTTATACAATCAGATAGAATTACGCCATAGATATATATTATATAGTTACTATATGCTACTATGTCATAACTTATTATAACAGGGGGCACCTTGTACCAGCTACATTGATCACCTGGGCATGGCCGTGTTTCGCCGTGTTTCGCAGGCGTCGCCGAGTTCCTCCTGGTGATCTTCGGATGCATCGCGGGCTATGGCACTGCCATGCTGGTGGGCGTGCCCTTTACGGTTCTGCACCAGATCCTGCCGTTCATCTTGGTGGGGATTGGCATTGACGATGCTTGTCCCATCTAGAATAAGAAGGGGGAATTTCCGGGCCGGGAAATTGGCTGGTGTTTCATCTTCGGAAAATGTTTTTGAACATGATTCGAATCTAGAATTTCCGGCCGCATGATACATTGATCAATGGATGGGGTTACCTTTGGCACTTTAAGCAAGTCCTGATAGGATCTGATCCACTTTCACTCTCCAGCCATCTTGGAGGGTGTGAATCATCTCAAGCTGAGATGGTGAGCTGGCACTGGTGACGCAGATGGACGAAACACAACACACACTAATGAATATATCTTGGAGGTAGATATAGAGGTATTAATTAAATATATACTAACAGGTATTCAAGACCCTGATATATTCTGGAGGTAGAAATATATACTCTATGACTTGGAGGTATTCTTTCCCATTTTTTTAAAATCCGTAGATTTAGATGTAGTTGCCGTAGTCATGTAGTCATATATCCATCAAGCCCAATTGCCAACAATGACAATAAGATGCAACACCAGCAACTGGTTCCCAAGAATAGCCATGGCATGATGGTACCCACTTAACATGACATCTCTGGAAAGTCCTGGCCAGATGCCCCTTATGTGACTAGCCTGGATTGTTCTGCATAAGTGGAGGCTTTTGTGTGAAGGTTGTAGCCCGGGGCCATAGCTCTGGTCGGATTTGCGATTTCGAAACATCATGAAACACCAAATTTTTGCCCGAAACTGCTAGATTGGTGTCTGAAACAATCCATGTGGATGAGAAGTTTATCATGTCTCGTTTTGAGGACGCCTTTGTGATTTGTGGTGCCTTTGATGGCACGCCCAAGACGTTGAGCTATCCTAAGCGCATCGAAGTGGCGGTGCAGCGCGTGGGCCCCTCGGAGGAAAAGACAGGAAGATCCCTGCAGAGTTTGGCCATTCTTCTCAGATTTACAGGGGATTTAACTGATTTAACGATATCAACAATGGGGACTATGATGGGTATATCGGGAATAACCCTCCGGTAATCAAACACGGCTAGATGGGATATACGGATCTATACGGAGGTTCTGTTCGCTGGGAACATCAACGAACTAAATGGGAAATTGTCCAGCTAGCCATGTGTGATTGCCGGGTACCCAATTTTGACCCATACCAACTTCAAGATGCTTGTTACCAAACCTCAACACGCTCTCCAAACTGTTTCCGAAATATTGGAAGATGATGGAAAATGCTTTCCACTTTGGATACCAGCAATTTCGGTTTGGAAATCCATAGGTTTTCCCAAAAATGCTCAAGGTATGGCAATTTCTTGGGCGCTTTCCTGACTCAAGACCTGCACAGATACCACAAATCGGCTGCATTTCCACGATTTCTTGGTGCATTTCTTGACTCAACCACTGGGATGCTTTATTGGTAACCTCTCAACATAAATCATATAAATCTGAAATTGGGAAGCTGAAAGGAAAGATCATCTACATCCCAATTGTGCCAACACCAAAAAACACCAGGTGTCCCTGTTCGGACTCGCCGTTGTTGGTTACCAAACACCCTGGCTTCCCAGTCTTCATTTCCATCTCCGAGTCCCTTGAGGTGTTTCTATCACTTTGACGACGCTCACATCGTTGGCCTCATTTCTCCTGGGTGCTTTGTCGGCGTCGTCCGAAAAGTGGGCCCCAGTTAATTAGCTAAGTTGGTGAACATAACTAATAATAACAATAGTGTATGATACTTGTAACTCTATTTAGATGGAGTTGTAAACCAACTTATAACTGGGGGGGCCCATCCTGTATGCTTCGGGGGCCTTTGTAAACCCCAGTCGCTTGTCATTTTCGCGCGCGCGTGGTGACGACCCCTTGATCTGAGGTGCTACCTGCGTCTTCCCAGCGGTGCAGTGGTTCTGTTCCTTGGGAGCCGTTGGAATCATTTTTCCTTATGGCCAACTGAGCCATGGTACAAACACCATGGTTGATCTGTTATGAAATGCGGAGTCATACCATACATTACACTACCTAATTTATCCATATTTATCCAGGATCATGATAGGCAATAATAGGAAAACTGAATATCAGTGAAAACCAAGCAGTATGATATGGGGTTTGGTCAAAGCTTGGGTCCCATCAACAGAAAATGAACACATCGTATTGCTTTCATGAAAAACAGATGGGGACAGAAACTCCAAATGGATAGCTCTTGAACTTCTATCCTCTGGAATCAAAAAACATAAAAACATATGCCAGCAGGAAATGCCCTTTTTTCAATAGGAAAGTCAGCGTTCAGTGAACACACTTTGGCGAGGTTTGTTAAAAAAAAGTTTGAAGCAGGTCCACTTCGAAAATCCATGAGAAACTCATCGGACCAGAAGCTCGTCTCGTCATCTGGGATGAAACATGAAACGAAACACAGCAGGGTCAACAGGGTCACAGCAGATTGGTCACTTGATTCCCAAGTGTCTCCAGGGTCACCCAAAGTTGGAAAAACAAATCCGGCACTTCAACCAGTGACGCAAGCGGCCAGAAAAAAATCGGTTGTACTAATGGTTGTAGCATGTTGTACCGTTACAAGAATGAATATGAACGGATAACCATGGATAACCAATTCATAGCAATTACCAATGTATTGCTATACCCAGTATGGCTGGTGAAATCCTCAATGATGTGTGGTTTTCAATCACCAGCACAAGTCCTCAGCGACGGATCCAGCACAGACTTCCAGGTTACTACGCGGCCTCTTGTTGCTTCTTCATTTGGCTGCTGCTTGGCCCAAGGCCGTCATCATCCCATTGCGAAGGGTATACATAGTATGGTATAGCCAACTAGTTGGTGGTTTGAAACATGTTTTATGTTTCCATATATTGGGAATAGTAATCCCAACTGACTTTCATATTTTTCAGAGGGGTTGAAACCACCAACCAACCAATGTCATGAACCTCAAACTTGGGGTGACTATGACATTGGGTAAATCCCACAGATTTCAACCGTTCGAGCTCAAGGAGCTCAAGGGCGGTCCAAAGCAATTGTGATTTGAAGCCAAGCCGATTTTCTCCATGGTTTTGCGGCATCCATAGATTTGATAAAATTTGCTTGTTCCATCCCTTTCTGTCGCCCAGTTACCGTGTTTTTACTCGTTTCAATCAACATTCTTGCTGATTTGTTTCCTCATGTTTCATCACTTTTCTGGTTCAATCCCAGTTTTATTGATTCAATCCGGTAAATTGTTGATATTTTTCGTTGCCGTTTCTTCACAAAATGAACCATGCAAACCCAACCATAAACCCCATTGCTGGGTTGAATGCACATTTGTGTTGGTTAAACCCTGAAACACATCGTACAACCATATTATCATATTGGGGTTCCATGATCAATGTGTTGAAATTCAAATTCCAATTATTTTCAGCATTATATAATAATAATAATAATAATATATATATATACAATGTCGCAACATTGATGGTTAATTCACCCTCAAGCCGGTTAAGAACCCCCAAGATGCTGATCATTCACCATTCATTCACTGCAAATGGTTCATGATTCAATCCTCATGTGGCTGGTGTGGCTGGTCAATGGTTATATAGTAGTTAGTATATCCCATTACATCCTGTATATATATATTATATATGTATATATATATAATGTTATACTAGTATACCTTTATTTGCTGATTCACCATCCGTTCACCAAGCATTTTCCTTTTCGATTGGGAAATCCTGGGTTATAGCATATGATAGCCCCTTTTTGCATCCCCAGTTATGGTTGGTATCCCCATTGGATGGCTATCTATATACAAAGCCTTCCACTTTTTAGTGTGGTAAAGCCAAGATGGTAGAAACCATCTCATTATATCTTGACATATCACCATTGTATTCCCATATCCTCATAAAAAAAAGCATACAAGGTGGCACCCACCAGTTATCAGTTGCTTTTTTAAAGCCAAAGTAACAATATATAGATAAATCTACCATGAACCCTTCTTAGTGGAGCTTTGTTCACCAGCTTGGCTAACAAACTGGAGCACCACCTTGTACCATATACCAGTTGTGGATTTCCCCATAGGGAAAATGACGGCAAACTCATCTCTCAAACTATTGCCGTTTTCCCCTACAATATTGTATGTCCCATTGTATACCTTTATTGTTGGATATTATATTCCACAGTATTCCTATTGTACTATGGTTATATTGTTACAATGTTATATTAAGGGGTATTTTTGCTTCCTGAATTTGCCATTGATTGTACTAGTTTCCAGAATCCACAATATTGCCAAAATGGTGCTCAAATTCATTATATCCCACCATTACAACGAACATATTATCCCATAATCAAACCTTCTTGTTCCCATTATAGCACACATGTATATTAATATACCAATCGAGCCATTGAAAATGACTTTTTTGATGAAATAACATATATATATACACATAATTGTAAACCCATTATTATTCGGATATTATACTCCTACATATTTCTGTCATAACAATTATATAGTATGTTATAGCCAGATAAATAAATAACATAGAATAAATACATTATATATATATATATCTGTATATCCCATTTTTTCACACCTTATTCCTATTATCTCCCTGCCAATATCCCTATGAATTGCCATGTACTGAGGCTCCACCTGACCGCCTTCCCAGCGCTCTTAGCCCTGGATGCACATCGTGCCGGTCTCACTCCACCCCGACTGGATCCCTGCGCCTGTTTTGCGGCCAGGCCGGAGATGGTTGAATCAAGTAAACATGGTGGATTTCACTGATTGAAGCTATAAAAATTGTATCATCCTGGAGGATTCAGATGGGTTTCACCATGTTTCATCCTAGTAATGTGGGGGTTGAATCACCCAAAGCGCGGATGACTAACCAACAAAAGCTGGCGCATTCCCATCATTCCCATCCGCAGGTCTTCCTGCATGCCGGGCGTGCTACCGGTTTGGGACGCCAACGGTGAAGAAGCTGCCCCGGTGACTTGACGCTGATGTGGAGAAGATGACGATGACGATGGTGGCAATCTTCGATGTGGAGAAGACATGGTATCGATGACGATGACAATGACGACGATGATGATGAGGATGATGAGGATGATGATGAGGATGATGATGACGATGATGATGATGATGATGAAGAACACTTCTGAAGAATATATCTGCTTGTAATATTTTCGAATGTCCACGATCCATGTTTATTAACGAACTCCCAAACTATATAGATTCTTTGGGTTTTCTCCGAAGTGTGCAAAGGTTCATCCATGTTGAACTGGCAAGTAGTCCATCCTGGCAAGAGGTGTACTGTAAAGTATGTGGCTACCCAAAGGCTCTGTGAAATTGATGAAGTTTCATCTTGCTTCAACATATACATATATATATATATGTACATATTATATATATATATATTGTATATACATCTTTTATTGTCATTGTTGGTTATAAAATTGGGGGCCATCCACCATTTTTGGACGCACCCAGAAACACCTCCATATAGTTGACTTGTTTCCTATGATATCGTCAGTCTGGTTGGTTTTATAGTGTTTTATTTTGTTTCCAACTTGTTTATTCATTAAATACCACATTCTTGAACACCCCCCAAACTCAAATAAGATTCATATTGTAGGTTAAATCTGTTCCCCATGACATCCCCTGATATACCAATTCCAAAACCATCCTTAAATCATTTATCGCAATCACCGGCGGGCTGTGCAGGAGGAGTCTAAGTTGGGCAAGGGGCTCTGCATGATGATTCGCTTCCTTACCAGCCACGTAGCCTTGGCTTCAATGAGTAGGGAAGTGGTGGAGGTGGTTCCAAGACTGCCCAAAGAAACCAGGAAAAGTGCAGTTGACCTTGGAGTTTCTGCAGTTTTGAAGATGTTCGAAGCCACTATCGGGATCTTAGCTTGGGGTTTCCCAAGCTACACATTTGGTCACTGGATGTCACTGGACAGGCCAGGCCCGCCAGGCTGCTAAGGTCGCTGGCATCGTGGTCACGCTTCTGCTCTTCTTGGCGGTGGCTGGCATCGCTGCATGGCAGGTGAGCAACGGATTAGGCCAGGACCCGGAGCCGAAAGCGGTGAAACTCCCGGTGTTGGGGCGAGATTCCCCATTTCTTTGATAGGGCAGTGACTAAGTCAACTTCAATCATTTTAATGTAAAATCGCGTTCAATCTGTTTGAATCACTTTTTTCTATTCTTGATGTTTTTTTTAAAGAACTAATATGGATTAGCTACTATTGATTAGCAACTCACTGGAAAACTATCAGTTTTTAAATTGAATCCCCTGGCTGATTGGTTCTCGATCGTCTCATCGATAACTGCCATGGTTTTCAGGTACCGACTTTGACATCATGGACTTGACGCCGGATCAGAGTTTTCTGCGGGACTTCTACAACAAGGTGGGACCGCGGAGGGTTTTGTGGGGATAAACTTGGGATGCTTGGGGTAAAAGCTGTTGTAAACCAGTAGAAAGGATGATAAAAGACGATTTTGGGTATGATCTTTTGAGGGGCCTGCAAATCAAAGTAAAGCAATTCCTATTGCATCCTATTGCAGTAAACCAACCGGCGAAGGGTTTGACATGCTTTGACCATCACTGAATGGAGTTTCACCATCATGACATACGGAATTAAGCAAACTCTTTGGGCATATATCCAGTCTGACGTGGTAAATCGATGGGTGAAGGGCAGTTTTTTAATGGATTAATTATTGTTTGCCATTTTGAGGGGGTGATCTATTAACCAACCCAGCTAGACATTTTCATATCTTAGGGCTAAGCAACATAGCCAGGTTTTTGAAGGTGTTTGAACAACAGGACAATCATCTGATTAAGTTGGGGGATCTTCCATGGCCATTAGAATGTCAGTAGGATATGGGTTACCTGGGGATGATTCTTGGCTTCCGGACATGTCCTGGGACTCTGGGACTGAGTTTTCGCGCAGTTAGAGACGTCTCTTTTTGAAAAAACATTTTGCAGCCAGATGATCTTTGGGGATTTTTTTGTAACGCGCAGAAATAAACAATGGAGCTTCTAGTCAAGTCTGTCCACACATCCCGTCCAAACATCTTCGAAACGCGGCAAGGAACAAGAGCACTTTGGTGGCTTGTCCACAGGTGGATTGGCGCTGCCAACCAATTACTATATCAGAATCTGGGCTGGATGACCAAGTTGAATTAGAGAGTGGATCCCTATGGTACTTAAACTTGCCAATTGAATATCCTATTGTATATCAATATATTACTGGGTAAATTATAACGACCTCACTGCGACCTCACTGGAAATCATAGTTAGTAAGGGGAATCATCCCAAAATGGCCCAACATTTCAGGTTAGTGAAATATCACAAAATTTACCCAGATATATGCAAATGAACTTAAATCACTCTAGATGGAGTCGTTTTTCGCTGGGAGAATGATCAATGGCGAATTGTCCAGCCATGTTTGATGGATCAACACCATTCAAAAGCTATACTGCTTGGTGGTTTCAAACATGACTGGATTATTTTCCATTCCATATGGGATGTCATCCCAACCCCATTGACGAACTCCATCATTTTTCAAGATGGTAGGTATACCACATTATACCACCAACCAGCTATTAAATACATTCAGAGCTGCTGTCTTGTGGATGCATATCCATGAAAAACAGCTCCCGTGACTCTTTTGGTGTCTCCCAAGGAGACGTGAACTTTAGCACTGTAGAAGTGCAAAGAAGCATGGAACAGGCCAGGACCTTGTGCTGGACAAAGTGTGCAGATGATTTGATGATTTAGGTATGACTAAACCGTTTTAAAGGGCATCGAAGATCAACCATGAAGTTCGCAGGGTGGCAGGTTCAGACTGCATCCCGTCGACCATCGAAAGAAAATTGTTGATTGGAGGTTAGAGCACAAAAAAAGTTGGGACAGTCAGATATATTCACCAACTTAAAAAGATCTACTATTATTAGGAGATGCTCTTTAAGGCCTTTCGTTTGGGTAAACCTACGACTGATTACAATCCCGCAGTGAGACGAGTTGGCATGGTTGTTTCGAGCTGGGCTGCTAGGAATCAAAATCTACTCTCTGCTCTGACATGTTCCTTTTCTCCGATATCAAACCAACAAACCAGAACAAACAACTAGAACCAATTCAGAATAGATTCTTCACATTACTCCAATATGGAAATGATGTCCCCCACAATGGTTCGCAGAAATTCACATCCAACCTCATGAGATCTCATGGATTTCCATGGCTGGATCAATGACAAAGTCGGAAAACAGGGTCCCCCCCATTCCAATGGATCTTTATGAAGGTCAATCCAGGTACAGTAAAAGAAAAAACCATTTTTCAGACACTCAGATCATATTGTTGGCGAAAAAAAACCCATTGATATTCCCATTGTATCGCAATGAGATCACCAATTTTTAGGGCAATAAAGAATAATCTTCAGCAAATCCCTTTATTTTCCTACTATTAACCCTGAAAACCATTGCATACATACATATATATATAGATTGTAACATTTGTCGTCCATTAAAATATCATATTATTTGAGATTCTTACTTGTCTTTTATCTATCCATATGACCTCCCGTAAAACGGTTGGTTGAGACATCAACCAGCTTTCTCTCGCACAGGTGGGCGCAGAGATGTTGGCTCTGAAGTCCATCAATAGTGAACGAGGCCCAGCAATCCAAATCTATGTGTTTGTGTTTATAGGGCTATATGACCATATATAAATATAATAAGCCTTAATGAATAACATCATGTTACACTAGTTAGATTCATGGTTTATTTATGGTTGGAGATAATATATATATATAGAATGGGCTAGCGCCCTGGTGCCGCCGACCCCCCTATTTGGAGGGTCCTGTAGAGAGAGGGAGAAAGAAAGAAAGAAAGATAGATAGATAGATAGGTAGATAGATAGATGGCTAGATAGATAGATAGATAGATAGATAGATAGATAGATAGATAGATAGATAGATAGATAGATAGATAGATAGATGGCTAGATGGCTAGATGGCTAGATGGCTAGATGGCTAGATAGATAGATAGATAGATAGATAGATAGATAGATAGATAGATAGATAGCTAGCTAGGTAGGTAGGTAGGTAGATAGATAGATAGATAGATGGCTAGATGGCTAGATGGCTAGATGGCTAGATAGATAGATAGATAGATAGATAGATAGATAGATAGATAGATAGATAGAAAGACGGCCAGAGGGCTTGGTGGAAGCTGCCGCGAGGGAATTGGAGGGTTTAAAGCGTTTTAAGCGTTTTAAGGGTTTGAAGCCTGGCAAACGGCAGGCTTGAATGCCCTAACAAGAGAGGGCTATGTGCAGGCAAAGGGCAGGCTGCAATGCTGGAACAGCAAAAGCTGACGGCCAGAGGGCTTGGTGGAAGCTGCCGAGAGAGAAGTGGAGGGTTTTTAGAGTCGTAAGGGCTTTAAGCGTTTGAAGCCTGGCAAACGGCAGGCTTGAATGCCTTAACAAGAGAGGGCTATGTGCAGGCAAATGCAGCAAAGGCTGACGGCCAGAGGGCTTGGTGGAAGCTGCGAGGGAATTGGAGGGTTTTAAGCGTTGTAAGGGTCTTAAGGGAACAACAGAGGGCTATGTGCAGGCAAATACAGCAAAAGGCTGACGGCCAGAGGGCTTGGTGGAAGCTGCCGCGAGGGAATTGGAGGGTTTTAAGCGTTTTAAGGGTTCGAAGCCTGGCAAACGGCAGGCTTGAATGCCCTAACAAGAGAGGGCTATGTGCAGGCAAAGGGCAGGCTGCAATGCTGGAACGCTGAGGGCCAGGAGCTTGGTGGAAGCTGCCGCGAGGGATGTGCAGCCAAAGGGCAGGCTGCAACCCTGGAACAGCAAAGGTTGACGGCCAAAGGGCTTGGTGGCAGCTGAGGCTTGAATGCCTCAACATCAGAGCGCTATGTGCAGGCAAAGGGCAGGCTGCAATGCTGGAACAGCAAAAGCTGACGGCCAGAGGGCTTGGTGGAAGCTGCCGCGAGGGAATTGGAGGATATTGGAGGGTTTTAAGCGTTTTAAGGGTTTTAAGCGTTTGAAGCCTGGCAAACGGCAGGCTTGAATGCCTTAGCAAGAGAGGGCTATGTGCAGGCAAATGCAGCAAAGGCTGACGGCCAGAGGGCTTGGTGGAAGCTGCCGCGAGGGAATTGGAGGGTTTTAAGCGTTTTAAGGGTTTTAAGGGAACAAGAGAGGGCTATGTGCAGGCAAATGCAGCAAAGGCTGACGGCCAGAGGGCTTGGTGGAAGCTGCCGCGAGGGAATTGGAGGGTTTTAAGCGTTTTAAGGGCTTTAAGCGTTTGAAGCCTGGCAAACGGCAGGCTTGAATGCCTTAACAAAAGAGGGCTATGTGCAGGCAAATGCCGCAAAGGCTGACGGCCAGAGGGCTTGGTGGAAGCTGCCGCGAGGGAATTGGAGGGTTTTAAGCGTTTTAAGGGTTTGAAGCCTGGCAAACGGCAGGCTTGAATGCCTTAACAAGAGAGGGGTCTATGTGCAGGCAAATGCAGCAAAGGCTGACGGCCAGAGGGCTTGGTGGAAGCTGCCGCGAGGGAATTGGAAAGTTTTAAGCGTTTTAAGGGTTTGAAGCCTGGCAAACGGCAGGCTTGAATGCCTTAACAAAAGAGGGCTATGTGCCGGCAAAGGACAGGCTGCAATGCTGGAACGCTGAGGGCCAGGAGCTTGGTGGAAGCTGCCGCGAGGGATGTGCAGCCAAATGGCAGTGCTGGAACAGCAAAAGCTGACGGCCAGAGGGCTTGGTGGAAGCTGCCGCGAGGGAATTGGAGGGTTTTAAGCGTTTTAAGGGTTTTAAGCGTTTGAAGCCTGGCAAACGGCAGGCTTGAATGCCTTAACAAGAGAGGGCTATGTGCAGGCAAATGAGGCCTTTGAAGCTTGGCAAACCGTTTAAACACAGACAAGCACTTGTTGCAAGAACGACCTTGGACAATGTGAAGGCCATGGCCGTGACAAAGCAGGTTCCACGCCTCCGGTGGTCCCAGGCGCCGCCCCTGCCTTGGCGAAGGCCGGGTCGGCGGATAATTATATATATATATATATATATATATATGGGCCTTCATATATGCTGATGTATGACATATGTGTACAAATGATATATGTTTTACCATTTGTTTTTGATGTGAAAACTGTAAAGGTATTTGATTACTTACGACATGATACACATAGACATGGTCAATTGTTCTGGACTTCTTTCTGGTCAATTTTGCTGTTGTGGGGTCTGTATTCGTAAAAGTTGAATGCAAGCAACATGTGAAAAATATTGGATGTTCGACGCTTTCTTTTTGGAGTTTCACCGTTTTCCGTTTAACCTGGTTGATTGATTCCAAAGTCTCTATATATTCTCTGACTGGCTAGCTGGTTTGGATCAAACTGGAAAGCGGCAAAATTGTTTGTCCCTTGTATCAATCAGATCAACATAGCTCAACATAGCTCAACATACACTTGGTCATTTATAAATCCCATTTATAAATCCCAGTATCTACAACCCATAGGATCCATGTATGCTATATACGGTAACATTTACCATCAATATACCCCCAATGTTAGCATATATAGCATACATGGATCCTATGGGTAATTAATAACCAGTTAACATCCAAGACTCCTTGATGAACACCAAGAGCGGTCGACAGACGTCACCCTCGACTTTGTGGCAACACTCCCCCGTCTCCACCAGCTGGGACTTACGTTCTCCGCAAGAGGTTGGGTTGTACGTTATATGCTCATATTGTTGGCTTTAGGTTTAAAATAATTTTAGTTGGCTTTAGGTTTAATATATTTTAATATATGACAATTAATTATATTATATATATATATATTTTTTATATACAACTAGATAGAACCAGATATCATGTCTGGAATGTTATCCACATCTTATATTATATTGATACCGTTTATTCAAGTCGCTTCGCGACGAGCCGCCCGCACCCAGTGAATAGGACAGAGAAGAAAGAAGCGGGCTCGTGGCAGCTGACTGGGGTCAAACTTGGCTGTCCTTGGCCTAAGTTGGGCCGAACGCGAGGGAACTGGGATCCAACGTGGCGCAACTTAGGCACGCTTGGACGCAAGTTGGGTTTAACATGCGCAACTTGGTCCTGTGTGAGGGCAACTGCCGCCGAAGTTTGGCCCAAGATAGGCCTAATGTATCCCAATGTGGGGAACACGGCCTCGCACGAACCCCCAAGTAGCGGCGCACACGAAAGTTTTCAGCGTGTCGCATTGAATCCGCCAAATTGGGCTGAGTAGGGCCCAAGTTGCGCTATGTCGGGTCGAAACGGGGAATCTGGACGACGTTGGGCCGATATGCCAAATGTGCAAATTACCACAGTCCCGCGCACTTTTTAGCGCCTTGCTTGGCTCGGTTCGAAAATGGCCCCCTCCCCAGCTGCACCATCCCTGCTAAACTACCACGCCTCGGCACCTTCGGTGCGGGCGGATTTAAGTTCCGCAGCGGCCAGGCTTGAAGAGTTGGCACACCATTTTTACCCTCTGGGCCAACCAATATAAAGGCCGCTCGGCCGCAAAGCAGACTGGAATGATCTCTGGAGTTCGAGTTTTTTTTTGTTTAAAATAAAAGTCTGTCGGGTGAATGAATCAGAGATTAAATTCATCATTTTCCATCATTAGGCCATTTCCCAAACCTATACATAGATCTTGAAAAAAACGCCCACGATTTTGCAGGGATTGTCCCGGGTCCCGGGCGCTATAAGGAAATCACCCGCCAAGTTGGTTGAAAAGTTCACTTCACGGTGAATCGTATGGTTTATGCTAGATATATCATTATATATCTATTGTTCGTGGGTTCACACGCCATTAAATACCACCATGCATCATAGCTAGGGGGCCTCACCTTGTATTTTATCATGGTGATTTCGATGTATTTTTTGCTTCTCTTTTGGGGATCGCTATGGTATATATGTGAAATTCTATGTAGCTACCTAATGCAAATAGATGTTAAGATTGTGTAGTACCAGACATTGGTGTGACGATGCTTTTTTGAAAGAATCCTGGGACGTAGTCTACCAGAACATTGCATCGCATTTTGCTGGCAAATTGGGGAGGTGATGTGTGGAACCTCTCAGCTATCTCCTTTGTGTTGCCGACAACAGAACCACTCCATGATCTTCTGTGGAATTCAACACACTGGATGCATGTTTTTTTTGGGGGGGGATGTTGTATTTGTATGTATTTGTATGGTTCAACACTGAAAGTGTAACAACGATTTCTCCCCACAAGAATCGATGATCTCCCCCACAAGTTGTGGTTCTGCATGTCAAAAGATGGTGGGATGATAACAAGAAACTGACCCACCATACGCCATATCCATATAGTAACTTGGCATCTCCCATATATTATCCGAATCCATATATAGTCATCCTGGAGTAGAGAGAATATGGAGTTTTCAAAAACTCCTCACTGAAATGAGACCATGTTTGAGGATATTCTATCTACTTCAAGAGGACTATATTAGCCCTATACATATACGTATATACACATATGTATCCATATCTCCCTATATTAGTCATATATGAATCACAAAATTAGGCATGATATATCTATCTATCTATCGATCTATCTATCTATCTGTCTGTCTATCTATCTATCTATCTGTCTATCTAGCCATCTATCTATCTATCTATCTATATATATGAATATAGTGAACTAGTGCACTATTCTTTTTTTTCGTTTTTTTTCTGGGCAGAGAATGTCCCTGCGACAGTGCCGAGGCACCAGCGCCTCGTTGCCCTTGGAGGCCTTTGTGGCGGTGGACGTGAACCGTGACGGCTGCGCCGCAGGATTGCCCAAAGGCATCAGCAGCTGCGCCCCTTGGCTTCGCGGTGCAACGGTTGTGCAACGGTTGTGCAACGGTGGTGCAACGGGTTCGGTCATGGATCATGAAATGGTTTATGACATAGAAATGGTTGATGGTTGATGGTTGATGATTAATTATATATGATTTATGGAATATGAATGGTTGATGGTTGATGATGGTTGATGGTTTGGTTTATTGTTGGATATGATAATTGTTTTTGATGGCACATGGCTTATTTGTATGGGATTTGATGGGATTGGAAGGAGTCCTTCGGAGTCAGGAGTCAATAGGAGTCTAGCTCACATTCAAAAAAATGTTCAGCCTGCCAGGTGTTTTGCAACATCTGAACTTTTTTTTGAGAGCTTGGTGGCCCAGGCGACTCATTTCCTGACGGGACCCACATTTCCCAATGCGGTCTTAGAGTTTCTCTGGACCAGGCGCGAACGGTTCGGTTCGGTTCAGATCCCCCAAAGAGTGCACCTTCACCAGATAAGGCGGTTACATTGGCCGGGATTGGTGGAGAGTTCAGGCAGACACAAATGTTTTTTTTGGTAGACCCTTTTGGTTATTTGACATAGCTATGGAAAATCGCCATTTTTATTTGGTAAATAATGTCAAATTGTGTATAAATGGTTCATTTTCCATAGACATGTAACAAATGCCGGAGGGGATATGTGTTGCTGAGAATGGCAGATCCGTTGGGTACTGGACCCAAATCTTTCACGAGAGAATTTGGTTGACCCAAATCCCAAATCCCCACCCGCCTCCATAAACATATCAGCCTGCATCCATTTCCCGGAGACCTTTCCGTCATTTTTTTTTTCGGTCACCGCCTTGATATCAACAGTTTGCTATTGAAAATCACCATAGAAATAGTCGATTTTCCTATTCATAGCATGGTGATTTTCCGTTATGTAACAGTTTACCAGAGGGTATCACCTTTATTTTTGTCGGAATCGGTCCCGGATCAGGGTTGACTCACAGACATTTCATTTCCTCACCGGTTTGTTTGAGAACTGGGTACACCATTTTCCCAACATCCAAATCGCCATAACCGGGGCTTTATCCCCAAGTATCCCCAATTTTTTCAGACATACCCGAATCATATTTCTATATGAAAAATGGCCATGTTGTCTCCCCGAAAAAAAAAACATGCCCAGATAGGGAAAACTGTGTCTTACAGTGACCCATACCGGGCCACCCGGGCCACAGTATGGGCGCTCAATTCGATGGTGACATCCATTGGGAAGGACACGACATCTCTGTGTCCTGTCGCTGTCGTAACGGCGTTTGGGTGTGCTGGTAATTCTATGGTTCATAGTTAATACCCTCTGGTAATTTAACATAGCTATAGAAAATCAACATTTTTAATGGGTAAATCAACTATAAATGGGCCATTTTCAATAGCTATGTTAAATTACCAGAGGGTAGTGGTTAATAGTGAGGTTAATAGACTTATATAATAGTGGGGGTTAATACTGTAGTGGTGAATAGTGGCCAATACGGGGTGAATCATGGTTAATAGTGGGCTCAAAAATGGTCAATAGCGGTCAATAATAGCTGACAAAAACATGTGGTAAACAATATCATAAATCATCCCTTCGGGGGTCCTGCGTGGTCACTCCGTTGCAAGGCCCAAGAATAAACCCAAATTGTGGATGGCTTCTTATTGGGTAAACACCACATTACATACATCATATAATCCTATTGTGCCAAACATGGTGTAAATTCATGTAAATCCCCGACTTGTTGCCTTGTTTTTTTTTGGGGTGTTTGACACTAGAGGGATGGGATCTATCATGGCAAGCACGCAGAGCCCACCTTAGACAAAAGATAAGCAGTATTCCTTGGATCACATCCTGCGTACAGCTTACAGGTTGCACACTATTTCTGTGAGAGAGCGCTATGTGAAATATGATTGCATATATACATATATCATCATATATGTATACATGTATACAACACTGAAAATTGGGACCTTTTCCCAATTTGTATAGAGGAAACAGGAAGCCTCTTGTAGAGGCGAATGTTGGGTATCATTCTCCACCTCCAGCAAGTATCAATCATCTAGGGGTAGTTCTCAAAGTTGGGATCACTATTTAAAATGTGTCCTTTGGAAAGTACTCAACTTTCCATAAATTGTGAAAACGGCTGATCATTCCGACCCGTAGCCTTTGTAGAATGGTCTGATGGTCATTTTTCCGTCCAATGCTCCCACGACGTCTGGTTAGACTCCCATGACTCTGGAAGTTCAAATCCACGTTTCTGTGGAGCAAAGCCCCCATATTTTGCCATTCAAATCCACATTGCATTGTTGGTGGTTGAAATATTTTTTTCCCCACCTGCCAGGTGAGGGTTGTTAGATTTTATCTAAGTTGCCTTCTCCTCCTCCTCCTCCTCTCCTCCTCTCCTCCTCCTCTCGTCGTCCTCCTCCTCTCGTTGTCCTCCTCCTCTCGTTGTCCTCCTCGTCTCGTTGTCCTCCTCGTCCTCCTGCTCAACTGCGACTCGCGATCCACAGTGTTCGCTGCCGGACCTCAACCACGACCATCCACGCCCAGTGTTCCCTGCCGGACCTCAACCACGACCATCCACGCCCAGTGTTCCCTGCCGGACCTCAACCACGACCATCCACGCCCAGTGTTCCCTGCCGGACCTCAACCACGACCATCCACGCCCAGTGTTCCCTGCCGGACCTCAACCGCGAGTATCCCCGCCCAGTGTTCCCTGCCGGACCTCAACCACGACCATCCACGCCCAGTGTTCCCTGCCGGACCTCAACCGCGAGTATCCACGCCAAAAGATATGCCACATAGAGTGCCAGAAGATATGCCAGATAGAATGTTAGAAGATATGCCAGATAGAATGCCAGAAGGTATGCCAGATAGAATGCCAGATAGACTGTCAGCTAGAATGCCAGAAGATATGCCAGATAAAGTGCCAGAATGTTTGCCAGATAGAATGCCAGCAGATTTGCCAGATAATATGCCAGAAGATATGCTAGATAGAATGCCAGATGGAATGCCAGAAGATTTGCCAGATAATATGCCAGAAGATATGCCAGATAGAATGCCAGAAGGTATGCCAGATAGAATTCCAGATAAAATGTCAGATAGAATGCCAGAAGATATGCCAGAACATCTGCCAGAAGATATGCCAGAACATCTGCCAGAAGATATGCCAGGTAGAATGCCAGAAGATATGCCAGAAGATATGCCAGAACATCTGCCAGAAGATATGCCAGAACATCTGCCAGAAGATATGCCAGGTAGAATGCCAGAAGATATGCCAGATAGAATGCCAGAAAATATGTCAGATAGAATGCCAGAAGATTTGCCAGTAACAAAATGTATAAATATCATGGTGGGGATCACACGAAGTAAAGTAATTGGAATGAATTATCCATCAATGAATTATTATAATTATTTCTTGTGGACATCTACCTTCGTTATTCATCTGGATGAACGAAAAAAAATAGAACTCACGTAGCGACATCATCGGGATGATGGTCCAGCTGGGTGAGAAGAAACGAGAAGTTGGTTTCTTACCCATCTAAGTTAGTTTCTTAAACCTAATGTCAACCCTAGATTCATAAACCCCAAACGGCTCTAAAAAATTGGGGGGGGGTTTCTCATTTAAATATCAGATTTATACTGATTTATGACTACTTGGGGAATACTCCCCTAATTAATAAACCCGTGGTTTACAAATCCGAGGTTGACATTATAGTTATTCAAAATCTTCCACCTATATACTTCTTGCATGTTATAATCACCATCAGCCCTAGTTACACTGGTTGTAAAACCAGCTAAGCAATGAATTTATTACCAAATTATAATCACCATAAGTATCCGTTCAACTGATTGTATACTAGAACTTTTATAACCAACAACTGGTTGAATCACCATAAGACGATAACTGGTTGGTGGTTTCAAACATTTGAAGTATTTTCCATAGTATATGGGATATCATCCTTCCCATTGACTTTCTCATATTTTTCAAGATGGTTATTGCACCACCAACCAGCATATATTAATTATTAATTCGGGATATTGATTTGATGTCCTTTTCCTAGTTGATAGTTGATAGAGGGATCCCCCATCACCATAAGACCATAACTCATAGAATTGGATGATGGGAAAATTTACAGGAAAACCAACAACTTGATGGTAAAAACATGTAAAAACCATGGTTTCCTGCAGGTTTTCCCTTAAACCAATCCATTGAATCTGGGCAAATTATAACGACCTCACTGCGACCTCACTGGAATCATGGATAATAAGAGGAATCATCCCAACATGGCCTTAATTCAGGTTAGTGAATTATTGTAATTTGCCCAGATTGAATCACGTTGAAGTGAAGGTTTTTAAAGCCACCAGCTCTCCTCTCCGAGACTCACCCCTGAGGTGATTCGCCTTCGTGCCACGCACGTGGATACGGTGAGCAGCGAAGAGCCAACCGGCCGAATTTTTTTCGCGGAATGGGTGCAAGCTATCAGAGAAACACATTGGAAACCATGTTACAAGTTATAATGTGTATGAATGTGTTATACTTATCATCTATCATCATCCTTGATTATCCCGTGTTATCCATGATCTTTTTCTGCCGTCCTTGTCCACTGAAAAGCACTTGAGTTGGCAACACATGTGGGTTTGGTTGAAAATATGGCACGCCGAAATTTGATGGTTGATGATTCCTTTTCCCATTGAATTCGTTATTTTGTGTGTGCCCCAAAATATTATTGGACATTATTATTCCCCAAATTTATTCCCGAAAATGTCCAATGATATTCCCATTTGAGACAAACCCCTGTAGTTTTTATCAGCCGATCGAAGTTTCAGCAAGGCAAGTCGAAGGTCTGGAAGAAGCGGAGAAGCTGACGGAGAAATGGCAGGCCCAGCGTCTGTGGGGCCTGGTGTGATTGAGCAAAACCCGGACATTTTCGGGAATATCATAGTGATATATGGAGATATTAGGGGATGTAGAGAATTATAGAAAATATACGTATATAACTTATAACCAGTTTATGGAGAATTTTCATGTATACTTGGGCATATTTGATGGAATTTACCCTACTTGGGTGTGCAGTGCAGGGGTTGTCCAGGTATGGCCATAGTAGCGACCTCATGATTGCTGGTTTTTATGCAACCCCACCAGTTTGTAGTGATAAACCCACAATTAATGCAGGGTAATCCATGAGTCATTGGCATTTCGTGGGTTATGAAACCCCAGCTTACAGAAAATTAGCCAAAAACCATACTGAATACTATAATCACTATTATAGTATATATATACTATAGTAAACTTGGTTGCTTAACTTTAGTTTAACTATAGTTCCCCCCGGTTGTGCCCCCTTTTTTCTGTTCCCCCGCGGCTCTTGAAAAATCGCCGCGATATAGCGGCGGATCAGGACGCTCTACCGGGAAGTTTCATGAGTTCCGGAGCGTACATCTTCTTCGATCAATATAGGCCCGTCCGTGCGAATTGGGCCATCCAACTCAGGCATTGAAAAAAAGGGTCGTTTTTTGCCGAGATAGGCTAGAGTTTCTATATCACTAAAATATGGAGAGTTGAAGCACGGCTAAAGCAACAAGAGTTCTGGTAGTTCCATAGTAGGGAGGGCTGCAAACATCACCACAAATGGTGTCTGAATAGTAGTAAAGTCCGCAAGAAAGTGATGCAGAGAGGATGGGCTCAAATCCACCAACCCCGCAAACCATTTGATTTTATTAAAGAACAATATGTTTGCATTGAATAGACTTTTTCTTTGCGATCGGGTCGCGACCACTAAATAAGGAAGCACAATGTTCAGCTACATTTCTGTTGGGGATTCCTGCTATGTCAGTGAACTGGAGGGAATAACCCTTTCATTGAATTTATATAATATAGCGGTCCTGTCCACCCTTCAGCATTTTTGCCCCAGTTCTAGGCTTTCATCCATTTGGGGTGCATCTTATTTAGGCTTGGTACCCCTCCAGTAGTGAATGAAACATGGCAAGGGAAAATCAACAACGGGCTCAGCTAGGTCAACGCCTGAGGTTGGTCCGATTAATCAACTGGATGTATATAGCCCGTCATATCCATATCCCCATTGCATTCTAATTTGCAGAGGATTTCCCACTATATTCCATAAACATAGGGCTTAAGATCAATCCTGGCTTAACAGTCGACTACGAGGTTTGAAGCAGTCCCTTCCATTGACCAGCATCGTTTGGCTAATGGGATGCTTATTGGGTTGGAACCCAATATACATCTGCGACTGCTATGGTAAGGGGTTCAAAACTTTGCTGCCCCAGTAAGGATATGCATTTTCCTTAGCTATGTATCTTGACTATGAACTACATATATCATATATCTATATGCTAGGCTGTCCTAGGTTATCAAACCCAGTTCCCAGTCATTTCCTAATTGTAGGGATCATCCCAATATAGATGCAAAAAATCATTTGACATGTTTTAAATCAACCGCTTGAACAAATCCACTGAACAAATCCCTGGATTTCTTGCTGAAAAACCCTTGCACGAAAACCAGGATCATTGTGGCGCAGATGACCAGCAGCATCGGTTTGTGTTTGGGTGCTGTCACGGTGATCAGTGCGCTGATTCTGGGGCACCCGCTCTCGGTGCTCACCGTGATCATCGTGCTGGGTGCCTGGGCTTTTAAAGGACCACGATGGCCAGGGGGGGCCACCAAGTTATGGGAATGAAATACTGGGAAAGATGATGCTCCATCAGTTTCTTTTTTCAGCTTTCTGGCGGAAAATGTTCATCTGTTTTGGAGACTGATTATGAAACTGAGGACATGAGGACATGATGAACCATGGCCGTAAATCACTTTTCAGGGGGAGAATCCATGAATCACAGGGAAAATCACCAAATTGCGCAACGTTGGAATGCTTCAAAAGACTGGTCACTCTATTTATCCAATTTTCATGGGTTTTATCCCCCAATTTTGGGTGCATCGTCCTTTACATGCCATAGTTTTCGAGGTGCTTGAAAGCAGCCATATTTTCAGTGCTTTCACCTGACTCTGTTGACATTTTTGAAGAGTGGATGGTTTAACTGACCTCAACTTAATCTTTTGTGAAATCATTTGCTTGGGTACAGAAAGAGCCGCCCAAATTACGGTTGTTGATTATTGTTGGTTTGTGGAATTATAAACCAATCCAACTCAAACATATTCAATCATATTCAACCACGAAACCTAGTTTGTTACAAACCAACATACCTCTCGTTGCCACTGTAACTTTCAAAACTGACTATTCCTTCCTGGGGTCACTGGGTATAGTCGTGAACCCGCAGGTTTGGTGTTTGTCGACCTGATGGGCAACATCGTCTCTTGGTGAGCGACGGCACGTATAAATCATGGGTAAATGATGGATACATGATGGGTAATCTGATGAAGTCTAGGTTGCTGGGTAACTCTCCAAGTTTCACAAGACTTGTCAGCTGAAATGCTGAAATTCACCCAGATCCTTTCCCCATGGATGGACTTGAGTTCCACAGCCTACCAGTTTGCCAGTGATTGGGAAAATGATGATGAACCATCAAATTTAGGGCTATCATCTACTTTTCAGACAAAGCCACATGAACATCTGAACATATTACTGAACTTTCACTGACGAACGTGGCTTCATCACATTTCATCACAATCTTCATCACAATCTTCATCACATTTCTGACATTTGGCTGCATCCATGGGGAGGATGTTCCTGGAGAACGACTTCTCGTTGGTTGGGTAACGCTTCACCATCAAGACACACGGCCGTCCTAAACGGAGAACTTTTCCGATGAAATAGCCATCGATCCATCTGGATGTGTTAGCTCAATTTTCAGAGCTTGGTCATGCTATTGAAAAAAACATGGTGAAATTTCAGCCAGATCCATCATTTACAGGGATTATATATATAATTATATATTATATGACTATGTGATATAGAAAATTATATATCATTAGGGATTATATCCATCATTATCCATGAAAATTCCATCATTATCCCCTGTTTTTGTCTTTCGGAATCATTGAGCCCAGGTTTTATGGGACTTGGACCTGAACTCCATCTCGATGATCAATCTGGTGATGGCTGTAGGACTGGTCGTGGACTATAGCACCTTGGACGGAAGGGGCGGAGAGGGGACTGGTCAAGGACGATACCCTCTGTCGTCATGGGGAAAATCCATGATTTGGATTCGAAAAGGATGATGTTCATGGATCTTCCATCTTTTTTCTCATAAGACAACATAAAACAACCTAGCGTTTCAGAATCATTCAGAAGGGGATTTCCCATTGCAGCCAGCCATGTTTGATTGCCACTTGCGGGCGCCACGTGGGCTGGGTTTGTGGGCAGCATTCGCCGATCAAAAAATGAGGATATGGGGATTCGGGATGGATCAAAACCACTCAAAACCATTTCCCAGCTATTTTGCTGTGATAGGGCTACTGATTGGGCTTTGATCCTCCACATGAACATAGATAACATAGTTCCCCCGTTTCAAAACGGGGTTCAACTGACGGGGTTCTCCTCGAAGGTATGCACATGGCACATAACTTCAGCCTTCAAGACAGCATGTTGCCGCGCAAGCAGAGAGCTGAACTTGCTGTGAGGGAATCTTGGTCCATCTTGGTCTGTCATGGTTTGTCCGGTTGTGGTGATATGATATGGTGGTGGTGTTGGTGGCAACGTCGAGAAAACATGAGAACACATGACTGATTGGTGGTGACTGGAACCATGGAATTTTATGACTTTCCCAGATTAGTTGGGATTTCATCATCCCAACTGACTTTCACTAACTCATATTTTTCAGAGCGCTGGCGAAAAACCACCAAGCAGATGACTTCTGAAAGTATCTTTTGGATTGGATGATAAGCTATTGACCTACTTACTGGTGATTTGATGATTTTGGATGAGGATCGGCCATACTTTTTGGGTCCATTGGTGCCCCATGTTACAATGTTGGTAAACATAGGGGTTTGATGGCTGCCGGACAATGGTTGACATATGAAATGCCGAACTCAACTGATATCAGCAGCGGAATCCCCATGATTTTCAAGGGGGACTGTACAGTTGCATACATTTAAGCATACCCGTCTGTAAACTAACAAGCTATGGAAAAATCACCCTTTTGAATAGGTAAATCAACGAACTCAATGGGGTATTTTCAATAGCAAACTGTTAGTTTACCAGAGGGTATGGCTTGAGAATCCCTATGATATAACGGATTGATGATTACCATCCTCCTAATATGCCTTGATTTATGCCTTGATGAACCCACATTTTCTCCTTCCAAGATCTTCCAAGTCGACTTTAGGAAATGGGGCAGCCAATCTTCTTGGGAGTTAGTCCGGGGCCTTGGCGACTTTCGGAGACCTGCAAACATATGTGATGTATCAAATATTCTCAAATAGTAGTATATATATATTATACAATATGATATATATATATATATAATATGATATATATATACATATAATATTATATATAATAAGATATATATGGATATATAATTTCCCTTTTAATTTCTCTTATTAAATCCCGCCACCCGGGGGGCGGGACCCAATTTTTATAGGGTCCCGTCCCCCGTTTTTTTTTCTTAACATAAAATTCTACGTTTTTTTTTGTTTTTAAATAACGGGTGCCCCAAAAAACCATCATTTTATACACGACCCCTATTTTCTGGTGCTATAAAATGACTAACATGGGTTATCTCCTCAGGAGAAAAAGTGGGGGCGGGGTCAGCATATAAAATTACTTTACTTCGTGTGATCCCCACCATGACATTTATACATTTTGTTACTGGCAAATCTTCTGGCATTCTATCTGACATGTTATCTGGCATTCTTTCTGGCATTCTATCTGGCATATCTTCTGGCATTCTATCTGGCATATCTTCTGGCATTCTACCTGGCATATGTTCTGGCATATCTTCCGGCATTCTATCTGGCATTCTATCTGGCATATCTCCTGGCATATTATCTGGCATATCTTCTGGCATATTATCTGGCAAATCTTCTGGGATTCTGGCATCTGGTGCATATCTCTTCTGGCATTCTATCTGGCATATCTTCTGGCATTCTATCTGATTCCATCTGGCATATCTGGCATACATCTGGCATTCTATCTGGCATATCTTCTGGCATTCTATCTGACGTTCCAGCGGTGCATCTGAGCTGGCAGCTCGCAGGTTGAGGTCCAGCGGTGCACACTGAGCTGGGCAGCTCGCAGGTTGAGGTCCAGCGGTGCACACTGAGCTGGGCTGGGCAGCTCGCAGGTTGAGGTCCAGCGGTGCACACTGAGCTGGGCAAAGAGCTTGGCGACAAGTTGGCAAGGTTGGCAAGGCGGAAGTGGAGGTGGAGCAAGGCGGAAGTGGAGGTGGAAGAGGCGGAGGCGAGGAGGAGGGCGAGGAGGACAGCTAGTCGAGGAGGAGGAGGCGGAGGAGGAGGAGGAGGCGGGCATGCGCTCTGATAAAATCCAACAACCCTCACCTGGCAGGTGGGGAAAAATGATTTGTATATTTGTTTACTACATATTTGCGTTATAAAATCATGGGTCCTTTTAAGCCTGTCATGTATAGTATCGATTTGTCATTTAATAAACACCTGGAGAACAACAGCCGGATTTTCAAGGATTCTGGCAACATGCGCTGACACAATCACACTGTGCTTGGGATCCCGGTACCTGGGCTCTCCAAAACCAACATCATTCGCCGCTGCTGCAAGTGAGTCAGCAAATTCACTTGGATAGGCCAAACTAGACACTTAAGCTATTAAATACCAACATTTGGAGGCAAATGTGTAGTGCCCGTAACCCGTACACTTTTTGAATTGCGCCCCGATTGCGGGGTACCAAGTTGTCCAAAATGTTAAAAAATGTCAAAACACACACAAGATGTGTAAAATATTGTAAAATCAATTCTTTTGAGCGTGGTCCCAATGTGCATCCTCCTCAGGAAACATAAATTAGGAGATAGATGGTAAGTTAGATGCAAAACTCGCTTCCATGATTGGCCTCCACCAGCTTGAGTGTGGGCTAACTTTGTGGATTTCTCCAAGGGTTTAATAAATCCAAAGGTGTAAAATGGGTTTGAACCCTAAAAAGTGCTCATATCCATTGAAACTTTTGCCAGGTAAAAGTGCTACACTGGAATCTCTAGGATATTATTAAGACATATTGAGAAATATTGAAAATTATTGAAAACGATTGAAGCATATTGAAACATACGAAAACATCCTACACATGTAAAAATCAATTTGAAAATATGCTGAAATTACTCGAATTCAACGATCAAAAAAAGAAGTACAGGCCTGATGTCAAACATTGTCATGCATTGTCTTTCTATACCAAACCTACCCATGCAAAAAACATCTAAAACGTCTTGGTGTAAAATGGTGTAAAATAGGTTAAAAAGCGAAGATAATTGTATACACATATAACAATTAATAACATATCTAAATTGTTCAAAAGTGTTCAAAATGCAAAGCGCGTCAAAATTATTGAGACATATTGAGACATATTGAGATCCCATTTTTCTGAACAAAACAACAAAACAATACAAACACATAAAGTGGTAAGAGATGGTAAGAGAACATAACGCAATGTTTGCCCATGGTTGCCCATTATGTCGTAGTTTATATTCCAATATATTGCAACAGTTTCCAATATAATAGATAATATAAGAGTATATAGGTGTGCGCAACGATGCATTAGATGTATAAAGTAGTCATATGTAGTATATTGTAGAATTATGCAATTATAAAATGACAATAATGTTATATCTAGCATTTTCACCACAGTATGATTATCATTTTATATCAGGCAGGCCGCCCAGGGTTATAAAAGACAGTATGACTTGCATTTGGCATTTCGTAAGGCCCAAACTGGTGCAGGTAGTAAGTTTTTTTTAAAATCTTATATTATGTTTGTTGTTGCAGCTGTGACCTTGAGACACTATTTGCCATTTTACAATGTTTCTAAAGCTTATTGCATGTGTGCAAGATTCATGTTCGCTTTTCTGGATTATCCATTGTATAAGGTACACTTACTTTGCAAATCGTTGCAATATAAACAATTTCTTTTGAACATTACAGGTTTTACCAGCACAAACTGAGAAAAACATACCCGGAGAAAATCAGGTTTGCACAGGTTTTGTTCTTGTAAGATGCCCTGGAGGTGCCTTATAAAATGACTCCCTTCTCGGGGACACCAAATTAGTAGAATTTCCACTCCCGCTTAATAAAATGAGTTTCGAATCCTGTGCAAAAAGTTGGGTCAGGATCCCGGGACGCCGTAAGAGATTTTCATGCTGATTTTGGTAATTCTTTAAAAAAATATCTCTGCCCAGGAGGTGGTTTGTGCCGGTGAGTACCTTGGGGCCTGCGGCAAGCTGACCATGGCTGGGTTGGCGGGGTTACACGAGGTTCTCAGCCGTGGCCCAGCCATGGGAGAGTTTCGATGTGGGCGATGACGTGGCGGTGCTGGGCTGGCACCAGGACGGGTGGGTCCTCTGGGGGACCCACCCGTTCGAGCGGTGGTGGGGGCCAGCTTGGTTCGTTGACCCCCTTAGATAGCTAAGATTGTTTCAAAATGGCAATTGCAGGGACTACAGACCTACAGCAATATATGGCAATGGATTTGGCAAAGAATAAACGGCTTATAAAATGCGACTCCCAGAGGTCATCGGAAACTCTGGTGATGATCCCTGCTTTGGAGCGAAACTGTCGCTGTTGATCATCAAAACTGCTCATTTCTTGATTCCGTTGTCACGAGGTGATACATCCTGGACACCTGGAGAAATCCTTCTCCAGATTTGATAACTTGTGATAACTTGTGATGCTTAAAGCCATCCATCCTGTGGGTTCAACTGCCACTTCTTTTCACTTAAGAGCTCCACTCAACAACGCATCCTCATTTGTTTGAAGGTGGGGTGGAACATCACCATGTTTTTAAAAGTAAATCATCGATTCACATGGACAATTTCCCATAGCAAACTGTTAATTTACAGTTTCCCAGTGTTTCCCATAGGACATGTTAGTTCCCCACCTGCCAGGTGAGGGTTGTTAGATTTTATCAGAGTTCTTCTTCTCCTCCTCGGCTAGCTGTCCTCCTCCGCCTCCTCCTCCTTCTCCTCCTCCTCCGCCTCCTCTAGTTTCTCCTCGACCATGTCTGCATCAACTTCCACCTCCACTTCCGCCTTGCCAACTCTTCGCCAAGCTCTTTGCCAACTCTCTTCGCCAAGCTCTTTGCCAACTTCCCAGCTTAGTGTGCACCGCAGGACCTCAACCTGGGACCTTCCCAGCTCAGTGCGCACTGCTGGACCTCAACCTGGGACCTTCCCAGCTCAGTGTGCACTGCTGGACCTCAACCTGGGACCTTCCCAGCTCAGCGTGCACTGCTGGACCTCAACCTGGGACCTTCCCAGCTCAGTGTGCACCTGGGACCTTCCCAGCTCAGTGTGCACCGTTGGACCTCAACCTGGGACCTTCCCAGCTCAGTGTGCACCGCTGGACCTCAACGGCCAGATAGAATGCCAGAAGATATGGCAGATAGAGTGCCAGAAGATATGCCAGATAGAATGTTAGAAGATATGCCAGATAGAGTGCCAGAAGATATGCCAGATAGAATGTTAGAAGATATGCCAGATAGAATGCCAGAAGGTATTCCAGATAGAATGCCAGATAAAATGTCAGATAGAATGCTAGAAGATATGCCAGATA